TGTTTTCAGCCACTGGAAAATGCAGCCGCTGGCCAAAATTTCCTACATTAAAGGAAGCTATAAAGTATATGTGCTTACAGAAGACCTTCTTTCCTGTTTTTTTAATTGTTTGCTTTTCTGGTTTTTTTTTTTTTTTTTTTTTTGGGGGGTGTTGTTTTGTTTTTTGTTTTTTTCTTACAGTCTCATAGGGCTGATGGGCAAATATTTAATACACAGTTTCTACTCCAGAAATGTACAGAAATTAATAACACATGAAGGTATTTTAGAACAACTAATTTCCTGTAAATATATGAGATTAAAAGGCAAAATCTTTAAATCCTGATTTAGACCTGACTTCTTTAATGCCTCACTCTATGGCTGACATCCACATGAGTAATTTTTTACTTTAAATTTGAGCAATATGTAAGGGTTCAGCCAGCCCCATCTGAGAGTAAAAGGTGGACCTGTGATTTGTGAAGGAAAGCACCCATTTTCTCACCTCCCTGAAGCAGGCTGCACAACACCAGTTTGCACACACCGTGACTCCCACGCAGTACTGCAAAAGTCAAGCAGGCTCCACGCCTCAGGCACCTTCTTTTTCGTTGTCAACACAGATCTAATAAGGGCATGAAACCAGCACTAACAAACTCACTTGAATGAGTAGCCAACAAATCCACAGGCTACTCTGTTGATACAGTGCCTGTAGTACAAACAGGGACTTCTAAAGACAAGGCGGTTGGGGATGTATTTTCTTTCTTACCTGATGCCTGTGTAAAGGGGTGATGTCAGCTCATCCTTTTTGCAAACATCCAGCACCTGAAACCAGCTCTCTGATGGATGTGAAACTGTAAACTTCCTTACTGCAAAGGAAGCTGGGCCACCTCAACAAGGAATAAGGACTGGGCTAGAGCTTGACCTCATTACCAGAAGAGCATAGGGGCAGGAAAGTAATCTATTAATTGCAGCTCTTCAGAAGCAAGATGGTCACATCGTTCTAATTTTTACCGGGCTGGGAGGGAGGAAACAACATAGACACTGTTAAGACTCAGCTCTTCACAGATGGACTAGTAGAAAACCAGAGTGCTTTCCCACTGGGTAATTTCAGCAGAGAGATTCCCTCAGTTTTGGTGTGGGGTTTTTTTTGCCTTGGGCATTGCCAGGGTCAAGTGGAGTTAGAGGAAACTGCTTCAGATGTTTCAGCTACCAAAGACCACTCTATGTGAATTGATATATACGTAACTGATGCAAAGGAAATGAAGAAACACTAGTTAATTAGCAGAGCAGTTCTTGTACAGCTCTCAGACACTGCCCTAAACTGTGAACTAACCTGCTGCCATTTACAGGACAGGTGACACACCTGCTGTTCCAGACTTCTTCTAAAATGGATGATAACAGTGATTTCTATAAAGCCTTCTGAAAGCCCTAACAGTGCTTTTCTGAAGCCCTCCTGCATTTTAGAGGTGATTAATTATGTTATCTAATATCTACTTTTCCTTTCTAGCACAGGGCTGTTGATAGAGTTCATGCCAGTTGCTCTGAGCCAGCTGGTATGGTAAGAACATTTTCGCATCAATTAGGAAATACTTTTTTTCTTCATAAAAACCATTGTTCACTCAGGTGAGCTAACTAAAGACGACTAAGGATGAATCCCTGGTGGTAAAGGTGGATCCCTGCTTAATTTGTAAATGGGAAAGTGTGACAAAGTTTAGAGAATTTGTAAAAAAAAAGGCCAAACACTGGGAATCTGTAGATTGAAAGAAAATATCCATCCATCCAGTAATGCTGCTAGTTATTTTTTTAAATCCATGAAATATTGAACCAGGTTTTGGTTTGAAGTGTATTGTGTAAAAAACAAAACAGAACAAAAAACCCAGAGAGGAATAAAGACCAAGCACTGTTACTTTAAATTGTTTTTAATACATCTTTCAGGACAAAATAAACAGGTGTGGATCCAAAATTCATCAGAAAAAATCTGCATAAAGTGTAAATACAGTTGGCACATTACTATGGAAATGCTTAATTATCTTTCCTTTTATAAAGTGCATTATGCCAAAACTGTAAGACCATATATAGTCAAATTAAAAATTACAAAAGCTTCAAAATCCTACACTGCATGTGTTAGGAAGCATACACCTGACTATGAAGGCCATATTGTAAGGGTTAGTGTGAGAAAATATATCAAATACATTAATGTGCATGAGTGAATCAGAACTTGCTACTTTTAAAAAACTATAATCTTTACCACAAATTATGCTATTTTGGTAGATGTTTACCCTTATTCTTCCATCCAGCTATCTAACAGGATGATGCATCAACCAGTTTTAGTCATTATTATTGCTTGTGGCTCGGGAGAAAGAAGAAATTAAATTCATCACAGTGATTGTTACTAAAATGAAATCCCAAACAATACAAAATAATACACAAGGGCAAGAGCCAAAATGAAAGCAAATTTACACAAAATTGTTCTTATTAAGCATCGTGTCACTCAGTAGATTAAAGAGCTTTCTGATAAAAGCCTGAACTTACTCACATTTAACTCACTGTGAACACATATGAAATTTAGTAAGAGTAGAACTTCCACTTAAAAAATCCATGGTATGAAATGAAATGCATTATACTATCTTTATGGAAACAGAGTAAGTCACAGGATAATTGGCTATTACATCACGCTCACTGACAACATCACTGTGTTTTTGATGAATCCTTGAATGCAAAGAAAGGCAATGTCGATCTAACAGAAACTTAATGCAAAAATTACCTAATGGAAAAGAAAAATATTAGGTAAACAAGTAATCCTGTGAAAATTAAACTATAAACCCCATTTTTTTCAATATGCCAAATACTTCATTTAGAGTTGATAATTTAATCCAGTTACTCAGCACACCAAGTGGCTTGTTAGTCACCGTGGACTTTGCCTGTGAATCAACCAAAGCTTAAACACAGTGTCAACCCCCTAACACAAATGCACTGATTAAGACAAGGCCAAGAAAAGGAATGGGTCTAGATCATCCAGTAGGCAAATGTCACAAGGTTAAGCCATGTGAAAACAAAACTTATTGTACCTCCAAGCATCTTTATGCTTAATTGACCTCATATAAATGAAACACATTTCACAGTGCTTGCAATAATTAGCACTTACCAAGCACCTTTCAGAAGTGCTTTGCAAACGTTAAATAAGGTCAGAAATCTCATCACTCTTTCATTAGAACACCCATAAATTTGATGGGGAGAGCTTCCTCATCCATGTCAAAGCAAGGGCTGCAGGGCTTGACCCAGGGACCTCCAAAAACCAGTTTAAAAGAGGTGAGTGAGACAGTATGCCTAATTGCCATTTCACAGATTGCAGAACAGTAGGCAAGGAGATTAAACAACTTGTCAAAGCTGGACAAAGGAGCTGTAGCTGAATTAAGGATTCACGGCTTTGAGGTTTTTTGGGGGTTTTTTTTTTTGAGATAAAAAAGTATTTGATCGTGGCATAAAGTCACAGTCTGTGATGAACTGGGGTACGAAGAGACTGCACTGCAGCCAGAGGGTGTAAGAATTCTGCCCTACAAGCAGCAATACCTCCGTAAACAGTTAAATTTAGTGCTTGCTATGTGCCTGTATCAGTAGTTTTGTAATTACTTCTTGACACAAATGGGTTTGAACATTAACCATTATTTAATATTGAGCAAGAAAAGACAGATGGGATGAGTATGACACAAGATACTCCAGACAGGTTTTTCTGTTTCCCCTGTCTGATGCAAAGAATGTAATCGTTTTGTATCCTTGGAGTTATCATCTCAGAAAAGGGATATTTTCACACACTACATAATGGCATTACTGGGGTTGTGATGCCATTTCCACAGCCCCTGGGAATGATACAAAAAATATTGTTATAGCTCTCCAAGACATACATAGAAAAGGAACATTTACTAGGAAAATTCAGCAGTTAAGGAATAACTGAGTTTCTAGTGTATTCTTTTTCCTCTACAAGAGGTAGGCGCTTCTTTTTTTTTTTTTAGAGCTCTTGAAGTATCGCCATTATAAATTAGAAGATCCACAAAGAAATACAACTTTATTCTTGGAATTCTGGGACCTCTCCATGGCTTCTCCATGTCCCGACCCCGGCTGCCACATGGCATCCCGTTCTATAAATAGGCATTACATTTTGCTAAGGAAGGTCAAAACGTTTGAAGGGTGTAAATACTGCAGCAGTCATCATTAAGTCATGCATTGATTTATTCTTGGAAACCTAGGAGCTGTGGAAGTGAGTGTGTGTTACAGAGCTGCGAGTCCCAAGTTCCTCAACAGAAAACTACAGTAAAACTTTGGAAATTACCATCACTGCGTTAGCAGGAAGAAATGTCTCAGGTTCACTGAGAGAACACAGCGTGCTGTCTCGGCTCCACCTTCCCATGTGTTTTGTAGCCTGAGGACTCTCTTCCTTCCACCTTCACTCACTCCTTCCCTGCTGCATAAATTAAAGACTGCGTATCCGAGAGTCTCCACGGGGATTGTCTGGTTAGTACACAGGATATTTGAAAGAATTATTAGACAGGTCAGCTTCCTTCAGTTTGGCCCTTGTACAGGTGTTATCTCAGTTACTAGAACAGGCTCTGTCACAAAAATACTTTACCTGCTCTCTGTTCATTTTAGTGGACTCTTAAAAAATCATTATACGAAAATTATAGACAGTTGTGTTTGCTCTGTGCAGTCAAAATTACCTACTTTACTGTATTTTAGAAACTGAAAATCTGTATAATCCAACCAATTTAAGTACACAGTATCTGTCTTATTATTGTTAACCCAGACACAAAGATATTTTAACATTTGAAGTTTTAGAACAAATCCAAGCTTCACAATTCTAGTTACCCAGTAACTACTGGAAAAGGCTTAATACTGGTTTGAACAAGAAGAAATAACTCTATATGGATGTAAAATACTTTCAAATAGTAACACGGCTCAAATTTAAAAAAAAAAATTCCTTGTTTTGTTAAGAATTTTTTTGATTTTTTTTTTCTTTTATTATGGCCACCACAGAGATTTTACACTGAGAACTTAAAGACAAATAAAATGTTACAATACAGAATATATGTTTTGCTTCTATTCAACTCCTAGAAGAACATGTTGATTTTAAATAGCATCTCCATTTAAAGAGGAATCAGTAAGGAACAGCTGTGCTTCTCATCACTGAAGTTCGTCGTTTGTTTAGAATAGCTGGATCATCGACTCTCTTGATTTTCCAACTCCGACCCATTTAACTAGGGAGGAAAACACTTCTATTAGAACAATTACTGAGAGAAAATATTCTAATCAATGAATTGTAGTAATTTTCACCTTTTATCACGCTTCACTACAAACTGGCCAACTTTATGCTGAAACACAATGCTAGAAGTTTTACCGTCAAGTATCCCTTTAATCCTGCTGCATTATCAGACTAGAAGTGCAATATACTGAAGTCTGAAAGCATGAAATAATTACACCAGAAACACAAAGCATTGCAGATGGAAGGCCTCACAGAAGGTCAAGCATGTTTGTTGCAGGTTTAACTGTTGTTGAGTGATAGGATATCTAGCTAAATCCCTGCAGAGAGGAAGCGAGAGCTCTGCCAGGCTGTGATTTTTTTCTTCACGTGGACCAGGAGACAGTGATGCACACATGCTATAATATTGTTAAATGTAAGGCTGCAATCAAAAACATTATCTGGTGTGAGCAGCCACCCCAAATACCATCCTGTAACTGTTCCACTACAATTTTTATTGCCCACGGATACTATAAAACTGACTGTAGGCAGGCCTCAGTCATCAAACCCAAGGCACCTTGCCTTCACACTGAGAACCACAGAAATAAAATTAGGGAAGCTTTATTTACACATCCCATCACCCACATCTGTGTCCATGACCACACACAGGCCATCCACTGAGTTTCAGGCTCTGCTATCAGATGCTTCCTAATCCACGAACAATACTGGAATTGCGACAGTTGCAACTAGCTCACGCTCCCCAGATGTGACCTTTGAGGTGCTTTATGGAGAACAAAAGGACACATGCTAGCTTTCTAGTTTTGCTGCTGTGGAAATTCCTTTCCAAACTCCACCATTTGTGTCATACCTAGTTCTTGGCACCTGTAGAGCTCTAGCAGTTAGATTTGAAAAAAAAGAACTGGATGGCTTAACCTTTGGAGACTGATCATGTTAAGATTCTAATTTTTCTGAAGTGGCAGAATTGGGCTAAACAATCTTGTATCCATGATGCAACGCATCTCCTTATATGGGTAAGTATGGAAGAGAGGGAAAAAAATTAAAAAAGATAAGTCTACACTCAAACAGGGATGCAGCGCAGGAAGCAAAGTGAAAGGAAGAGATCAGGACATTAGACTCACTACACACTGAAGCATGGTGCACAGATCCCCCAAGTTTTCATTGACAGAAGGTGGCAGTTTGCCAAGAACAATATATGTTTATCTTTCCTCTGGTTTAAATCCTTGTCAGCAGCAGCTCAGGGCTCACTGCAACACTGCAGACCTGCCTGCAGAACACCACCCTTTGCTGCTTCTTGGCAAGCCGTCATTTACCGTCATCAGCCCGACCACTGGTACTCCATGGCCTCCTGCCCACACCAAGCCACTCCCTGACTAATGGATTGAGCCCTTTTACAGAGATGTTCCTTTCTGCTGTGGCATCCTTATGTGTAAATCTACAGAAAGATTTACCTGGCACTCCAACATGGTTCTCCACGCATCGGATGTAATTCTGGGCCTTGGGTGGGAGGTCCTCCCACTTTCGTGCACCAGTTGTGTCAGTCTTCCACCCAGGCATTGTTTCATACTCTACTTCCACCTTCTGTAGTATCTCCTGGTTGGCTGTGGGAGAACAATTTTTATCACTGTTGATTTTAGCTGCTCCAGCTTAAAGAACACACCTATGCTTCTTGACCAACAGAGTCTTTTGACAACATTTAATAAATAAATTTAATAAAAATACCCGCAGTATTCTGCTGGTTGGTTAATTAATTCATTCTTCATTTAGATTAATTTCTGCTACTTAGGAAGGTAACTGATTCAAGACGATCCAGTAAGCCAGTTTCCTCTTGTCAAAACCTTAGGATGCATTCTATGTTGTCAGAAGACCACAGTAGTATTTCTAAGCAAACAAACTGTTTGACTTTTACTGTAGTTTCACCTTTTTTGGTTCAGATTTACACATAATAAAATAGCAGTCCTTCTGTAGACAGGGAACAACTGTCTCACCTTCATGGAACAGGGTTAAATCAGGCTTGCTAAAAACTTAGATGTCTGCAAGACTTTCCCCACTGAAATTCTCACTGTGCTACTGTCCACAGCCAGGAACTACCATCAGTGGTAGGAAAGCTGGCTGCTGCTAGCACCCTGCTGTACCTCCAAAATTCCCCATCTCAGCAGAACAAACCCCTCATCTTGTCATAGACTGTTACAGGTATCTTGAAAACATCATTCGTGTAAGAAAATTACATATTATTACATCTTAATAGAAAATGCTAATATACTGATATGGGAGTCTTTATACTGATATCACAGTTCTTCAAATTTCTACAGAAAGTCTAGCAAAAAAAGAAATCAAGCCTGATTTTAAAAAGCAAAGAGTCTTTCCCAACAGGTATGACTTAACAGGCAGGAAAGAGAAAAGTGAACACAGATATTTAACAACATACCTGGAAAATATGGAATTCTTTTTCCACCCAGTTTATAAGCAACACCAATTTTGATCTCATCAAGGACATCAAGAATATCCAGTTTTGTTAATGCCAAACTGTATAGAAAAACATCAGTTAGAGTTACACACATCATGAATCTCCTCTTTAGTACTTTCCACTTGCCTTTTTTTTTTTTTTTTTTTTAATTCTTTCTAGTTTTTGTTCACAAATCCAGCTCAGGCAAACCAGCAGTCAGAAATACACAAATATATTAAATTATGAACATAGTTAATTTAATTCATGCCTCTGGGATGAATACATGACTGAGTTACTAAGTCGCATTTCGAAATGCTTGTCTGCTCATACAGGTGCACAGTGTCAAGTTCAGAGCATGAAAATGCAAGCTGGCCATGTAAAGTGGCACTTTCTGGACTTGGTTTGGGCATGTCACTTTACATCACTATTAGTGAGTATCTCTGTTATTCCTACTGATTCACAGCAACTGTAAAACAGATTTATTTACTAAATTACACTTTTAAAACAATCTTCACAAGCATAATCTGGCTACTAAAATCACATATAGAGTTTGGTAGGAAAGACCCCAGCCTGACTTTCAGTTCCTGGGCTGTGCTATCAGGGTTGTCAGTTTAATGAACCTTTTTCATCTTTTGAATGAACACACTGGAACACAAAAATGGAACCTCAAGAAGACACCATAATATTCACTGATCAGAATACAACCTTATTTTAAAACTAGTCAAATTCTCTGGAAACAGTATGCCAGACCTTGCTTGGTGAAAATATGAGTAGCTAAGGATTTAGACAGGTACGCACATTAATAGTCCTTGCTTTATGGGCTCAGTAAGCACATAATGAATGCAGTGATTAAATGAAAAGACCTTTTGGGAAAAAAAGCAGCATAGAGGCAGTTCTTCAGCTTTTTTCAAGTTTTTATCTGCCCATGTTTTTTAACTGCCACAGTTACCAGGGATGACATAGTTTTACTGATAGAAGTGCAGTAACAGTATAGAGCTGAAATGGAAGGAAACATAATGCCTTCCTAATACTATTTCCACATGACCTAGAGCTGGGTAAATTAAAGGAAAATATAAATCCAAGTAGAAAAATGTTTTTAAAACCCTTCTGATAAATTTATGAACAAAGCTCATTGTTCCCTTTTAACATTAGTAGCATAAACAATATTAAGTCTCAGTTTATAAAATATTAAAACGCCCAAACATTCATATGTTTGTATATATGAACAAGCTTGCCTGAATATGTAAGTCAACATTTAATATGAACACAACTGTAATGAAATGTTTGCAACATTTTCTGACAATACAGATTAATAATTAGTTATAAATTAATGGCTTGTGACAGTTAATAGCATTTTAGCATTAGACATAAGTTAGCTTGATGGCATTATGGTCTTGAACAGTTCCTTTGAACATCCATTTTCCCTTTAAAATGTCAATTTAAAAAACATTTTGAACTGTAAAATAATTTACCAGCCATGTAAATTGCTGAGTCCCAATGAAAATAAAACCTCAGCCCATTAAAAGAAGCTTTTATAATACAATATTAGACCACACCTTTGTAAATAAATGAATCTGTTAGGACTGGAATGAGAACAGCCAGTTGCTGTACACTTTGTGTCATCCCACTTGTTTCACTTAAAGAGGTAGTGGTTCCAAATTATGCAGAATTGGTCCTACAAGAATGACCCACTAGCGTCAACCAAACTCAAAACCAGCAGGTTTTAGATTGCAACATAAGTCAGTATGAAAGTACTGGATCAAGAACACTAGAGCAAACTGTCAGGAAACTGATATATTGATCCAATCTACATTGGTCATCTGATGTAAGCAACGTGAAAACATATATTAAAAAAAAAAATCACTGCTATGATGTTGTAAAATCACTTCATTTGAAAAAATAGTCAAAAGAATTAGATTGTTATTAGCATTAAGACAATTCTCAGTTGCCCATTGTGAATTATTTTATTGCTTAAAATGTAACACTTTACTGGACTTATATTAATGTTACCTACATATTTATTCTGCGAAGCACAAAATTATCACTTCCAAATGTAGCGCAAAATCTGTGATGCTTACGCAGTGAATCCGTTGATCATATGAGCATATTTCAAAATGACAAGATCTAACCAGCCACAGCGTCTCTTTCTGCCTGTAGTTACTCCCCATTCGTGGCCACGGGACTGTAAAAGATCTCCAATTTCCTAAAAGAAGACAGAAAGAATGCTGATGGTATTTCACTGAAAAATAGCAGGAAAACAAAATCTAAACAAATACAGACAAATAGCAGGAAAAATATTGTTGTTCCATTCCAAGGCTTTTTTGTAGGAAAAAAATAATTAAGTTTTATTAGGAGGGGACTTAGGTGGAGAGTAAAGCCCCTCATGCACAGGATTTCTGTATTTAGATCACTAGCGTCTCCAAAATACATTTTTAATATGACTATTTTGTGTTACAAGGGGACACCTTTCTTCCTTCTTCATTTGATAGGAAGATTTATTTGACAATTCGGCCCTGTTTTTAACTTTGTTTGTGCTTACTTTCTTGGCTTGGTCTTTTGGCATCTATTGTTTTGGGGGGCAAGACTGTAAGTGGTGGGGACAAGATCAATGCTTGTACAAAGTCTAGGTCAACAGACTCCTTGACCATGCCTAGGGCTCCCAGGTTCTGCCACAGTATGAGACTGCCAACTGTTCCCTTTGGGCTGGCAGTGTTTATAATGTGTTAAACATGAAAAAGAAAGAAACTTTATGCTCATGATTCATAAAACTAAAGGGTATCACAAATTCATTTGAGCCATTAGATAAAGGATTTTAGTGACTAAATCCTTAAATTAGATTTGGATCACTGACCTAGACATAGCTCATCATTAATAACTTCAGCTTTCTAGTTTCTTGATAATTAAAATATAATAGACAGTTTAAAAGAACCAAAATCTCTCCCCTTCTTTTTATTGATCAGTTTGTGGTCACTGTAATATAACATCATCACATTCATGTTTCACTCCTTTGAAGAAAAATACCTTAAGTTTATAATGTAATTCTCCTCTCTTTGTGAGTGCAATTGCTTGGCATTATTATTATGGTGCTTATTTACTGTTGGTATACCCTTACCCCATTCCACTGACCTTATTTTTTGCCAACTGTATATATTGCATATTGTAACATTAAACCTACATTAATCTGCTCCGTGGGGAAGGCTCCAATTCCCACTCGAGTAGTGTACGCCTTCACCACACCGTACACATCACCAACGTGCTGGGGAGGAACACCAAGTCCGGTGCATACACCACCTACGGTGCAGTTCGATGAAGTCACGAAAGGATACGTGCCTGTCAGAAAAACACAACACACAACCCCATTTCAGTAATGGTAAGAAACAACGACTGATTTTCCTTTATGAGTTGAAAGGAGATTTTCACCTCTGTTTGGCTTTAAAACTAAACTGACATAGCAGCCAAAGAGCAGGGCAAATTCTTCCTACTACACATCCCCATTTTGCTTTTAATTGGAAAAAATAAGCTGTTCTTCCCCAAATTGCTTCCTTCTGTAGTGAATAAAACATATTTAGACTTCTAAAGCTCCACAGAAACCCTTCTAAATGAAGGCTGTTTTCACAAATAGCTGACTTACCCAGGCAATTTGTATAAGCATATTATTAGTGAGCAAGAAGTTCACACACACAAATAAGAAAATTTACTGCTTTCTTATACTTAAGGAGGTATCAAGTATGTACGATCTGGTCCAACATGCAAGCCTTTCTGCATTCATCCTTTGCAACTTTCACTAAGGATTGCCCACAAGGGAGAAATTTAAAAGCAGCTCAACACTATTTCCATTAGGCACTGCATCTGTTACAGGATGCTGCTGCCATGTAAAGCTTTTTTCTCTGTCCTGTGTATCACAGAAAGTATTTCCACAACATCCACGGAGAGCCTGGCATAAAGGTCACAGTCTGACATTCCCAGTGCTCTACACAAGTAGCTCTGAGTATCTGCTGCAGATTTTCTAAGCCTTAAGAGGTTATTCATGATCTCTAAATTGTTACTCTAGATTGGAGCATCTTTCCAGTTCTTAGTTTCATTTTCATGGAGTCCTAAGTAGTTTCATTAGACTTTTGGTACAAGAGCAGAGCAGAGATGAACTGAAGAAACTAGACTTACCGGTTATCTGCACCAGTTTAATCTTCCCTCCACTGCAGAGGAATTATTTCAGCAGCACTGCAGTGGGCGTCTGGAATGTACGGCAATGTGCACGACAGCAATATCAGGAGTGAAATTTCAACTCCATTGGAACAAGCTTCAGTAAAAATCAGTATTTAAACCCTAAGCACTTAATCCTGTTAATGATACAGTCTCTGGCTTCCTGCACTTTACTTGTGGGAGATCTGATCCTATTAAAGGAAAGAGTATTTTGTTTCTCTATTTTCCTACTGTTTGTAAAGCTGATATAAACACAAATCAAAATAAAATTAATCAAAATAAAACTAATCTCTTAGGAGTTAAATTGAGTTTAGAATTTAACTCACCAAAGTCAATATCAAGTAATGCTGCATTGGCTCCTTCAACAAGAATCTTCTTTGGGGAGCCATGAAGAGCTTCATACATAAAATACACACCATCTCGAACCATGGGTCTTATTTTTTCAGCATATCCCTGCAAATTTGAGCAGAAATGTCAGCTTCCCCAGACAATGTCTGGAAGCAGGGAACACTGCATTCATTTTTGAAACACCAGACATACAGGTAACTCTAATACACCAGCTTCAACAACTGTGTTTTACCTGAAAAGTACAGCTATTAGATTACATCCTATTGAAAACAAATCAATGTATTGAACCACTCACATAAGAAAACATGACTTGTTATGGCATTAGAATGCCATCATTTCTGTACCATTTCTATTCACAGAGATGTTGCATACCTACCTCATTTTGTTGATATAGTCAATATATAGTGTGTCTATAGTCTGGACACACTGAGAGTGGGACTTAGAAGTAGTTCAAGCTCCAAAAGGGAAAAAATAAATCACCACTCACAAATATTAAAAAATATCTTTAAAAGTAGAGCGTCAGCTCTGAACGAGTACCAGACAAAACTTTGGAAAGGTAAGAGTTTTTTTAGCACCCCATTTTCTTACATATTCATGAAAGAAGATGTTTTACCAGTGGCTCTTCTGAATTTATTTATAAAAAGACATTTTTATTGTAATCCAGGATCTTGAAACACAGCTTCCACAAACAATTTTTGAGCAACCATGAAAGTCTCTCAGACAGACAAGGTCAGTCATGGCTGGAGACAGCTAACTGCAAGTGCCACCCTGCGCTCTCTTGGCTACTTTAATACAACAGTTATTTAATGTCAAAAACCTAAAATATTACAGGAGAATTAAATTATACACAAAATTTATTTTACTGCCCACAATAAGAAAACATTCTATTACAAAGTATAGCTACTGCTTATTAAAAGGCTTTATAATAATGAAGACATGCATTTTCATTTAAATGAATTAATTAGTTTAATAAGTAGTCATTCTGGTACACTTAATTTTCACTTTTAAAATTAAAATAAATATTACTATTTTCTTCTACACTTTCCCTGAAACTGAACAAATATTACAAGTGTTAAATCCTTACCTTTAGCTTTTTCAATTGTCCTTCTACATCTATTTCCAATGAAGGAAACATTGACTTGTATTGTTGTGCCAGATTTTTAAATCTGTAAAATATTGAAGTCATATCTATGAAGAACACTCTTTGAGTTATTGTTCATAGAACCTTTGGCAAGAACTCATCTTATATTACACAGAGTATATACTGAGAGCTATGGGAAGACAATACCCAGAACTTCAATACCTCAACCACTGCATTTATCAATGTACAAAACTACATTGTAAAGATGAGAAACTCAGTGAAGTACAGGAAATACATACACACATCCCATCCAGTTTTCTTCTATTTCTGGACAATTTATATAAAAAAAATCAGACACATATTTAAAAACATCTCCTTAAAAGCAAATCTGCCAGTGAAAATGTATCACTCTAACATATTATTCAGAAATTAAAATAGTTGTACCTTGAAGAAAATTCATCAAAGTCAGAAAGGAGGTCACAAATTCGAAGGCCTGTTCGTGCAGCTTTGGAAGAATATGTTGGTCCAATCCCCTTCTTCGTTGTGCCAATACTAGTTAAAAAGAAACCCCCCAAACATGTTTAAGCATAATATGCTTTAGTTTAAATTTAGCATGCTCTTTCTTAGCATAATAAGCAAAAACATGCTTTATGCTAAGTAATTTTGTTAAAGCTCTTCAATATACCATATACTGGGAAGGAGTTCCGTGACATAAAAAAATGAATAAAGTTTTATAATAATAAATAAATAGCAACTTTCATGCTTCAGTGGATTTGCATAAATATTGCTAATAATCATGATATGCAGTAAAGCATTAAGCTTTGGGCTGAGACAAGCTTACTTGAAACTATGTGTGTATATACATATATTATACAGTAATAATGGTTTCTCTACTGTACTATCCTGTGTTACTACTACATCACTTACCACAAACGATAGGAAACTAATGTCATTTTCACAGCTGCAGCACTGCCTATAGTTGCAAACAACAGCCAGTTCTCTGAGTGATCAAACTGTTCTCCTATGGCTTTAGCATTACTTATACTATCTCTATGATCTATGAACTCTTGCTGCAGCCTTTAGAATCCCAGAACTGTAGAATGGTTTGGGCTGGAAGGGACCTTTAAAGGTCATTCTGTCCAAACCCACCCCTGCAATGAGCAGGGACATCTTCAGCTAGACCAGGTTGCTCAGAGCCCTGTCCAACCTGACCTTGAATGTTTCCAGGGATGGGGCATCTACCACCTCTCTGGGCAACCTGTTCCAATGTTTCACCACCCCCATTGTAAAAAATTTCTTCCTTCCTTTTACCTTGATGAGGATAAAAATTAAACTGTTTCCCTACCCGCATGTCTATTTTCATGTGCATTTTAGAAATCCAGTAATTTTGAGATCTCTATTTATATGTTAAGTTTGCCTCAAATTGTCCAGTAGGATCAAAAACTAACAGAATGACAGAGAGAAAAATACAGCGTGTTTATATAAACCTTTGTTCTTTCAGAAATCAGAATAATGAAGTATGAATAGCTACATACGGTGCTAAAGTGTAAGATTAAAATTACAACAGAAACTAGTATCTCCATGAAGTGTAAGTGAATATACAATAAATTATTACAAGTGTGGAACCTAATTGCACCAACACTTCAGACCTGATTCAAAAGAGCCTCACTAGTCTGATATCAAACTGGACTGGAGACATCATTTTAATGGCAATGAGTTTTGAGGATTTGGTAGGAATTTCAAAACACCTCTATATGCTGCAGAGAACTGGAAAATGGAAATATCTAAGAATTTATGCCCTGCTTTTTCAGTAATACCTCAGAGTTTGTTCTCTAGCATAAGTAGAAGCAGAACAGAGTCAGAGAGCTAGTAACATCAGCAAAGCTCTTTAGAGATACGTTGCATTTCTGTTTTTTCCAAAATGACACCAATTTTTCACATCTGTGTAATTATTAATGGAAAGAAGGTGCTGAAAATATTTACTTTTTTCCTTCTTGTGCTTGACGTTGCACTTCCTGGAGCCCATCTACTGCCTGGTGAAAGTCAAACACTGCAATGGAAAATCAAATGGACATAGTGGGAGACCAAAGGAAAAAACACTCTTCTTCAAATCACAGACACCTATACTTTCAAGACTAAATGCCTTTGTAATCATTGACAGTGTACAGGCCTCCTCATGTGAAAACAGAGCTAGTATTGCTTAAACATTGTGAAAACATGTAAAATATTGCTCTTTAGCGGATACAAATTCCATTATTATGTTTCAGATATACAACATAGAAAGAAGCTGTATTCGATCAAACAGATGACTGCTCTGTGGAGTAATATTGTAGCTTAGCATCATGAGCTAAGCAATCATTTGTGAGTTTTTTCCTCCTTCGATCATTGCTTACCTATATGTGCTCTATCTGATATAATCAGTCTTTTTTCCCAGTCTTTTAAACCTGTCAGAAGACATAAAGAAAAGTAGGATTTCAGCTGCACCGACTGGTTAAACTTTGAGATTTACTTCTAGTTTTTCTTCTAGTTTATACAGCTTCTTGTTAAGAACACTTTAGACAAAAAATGGATAAAACATAAGTAAGTATTAAACTTAGCAACGTTTTTGGTAACAAAACCAGCTTTCTCGTTTTGATATGGACAAAGACACTCACTTCTTAATGTCAGAATGGTGTGTGGCTTACATGCAATTCTTATTTTAAGGAAGAAAGATCTTGTTTAACTTGCTAGATGATAAATCACTTAAACTCCATTTGTGCCTTTGAAAATATAGCATTTTTATATCTAGAATCATAGAACAATTTAAGATGGAAGGGACCTTAGAAGGTCATCTTGTCCAAACCCTCACTTAAAGCAGAACCAACTGAGTTTACATTTGAGCACAGAAAAGGGGACACAAACTCTTGTTTCAATAATCTTGGTTTGAGGGCACACTTTAGGATTTTATTTTCTATCTAATATGGTAACAAATGCCATAAAACTCCTGGAAACCCCATGAAAAGATTGTTTTTGAAAATCTGTCTGAAGACTACAACACAATTCAACATTTTACATACTGTTTCCTTCATTATTTAAAATGCAGAATGGTATTGCACAGATTACTTATGGTCAGGAACCAAGTTTTAAAAAACAACTCAACCTGGCTGCCAACATCAAGAAAGGTTAAAAATTACTCGATACAAACCTTTCTTTTCATTCTTTTCAGCTTCTTCAAACAGGCCTGGTAAATGTATAACCACTCCATTACCTTAGGGAACATAAATGATTTATTTAAGGCAAGAAATAAAATACACATCCTTAGGATGTACAGCATGTAAACATTTGCTGTTGGAAATTTTATTTAAAAGATATGACGAAGTTTCTCACACTTCTCACAAACTAATCTCGAGAAATTTTGAATAAATCCTCATTTTGGGTAAGCAGCTACAAGCCTGCTAAAAGAAAAAACAGAGCTTGCTTGTTTCAGATGTGAATGTCGAGCCTGCTCGGACGCCAGCTGAGGTAAGCGGATTCTCATTTTTGTTTGCGGTGGACTTTGCACCACGACTTCAGCCTCAATTGTTCACTGGTAAAAGCTCAAAGGAGTCTATGGCCCTACAACACTGACAAGCCTGTGTGACAGTATTTTTCTTCAACATTCACGTATTTGTTTTAAACTGAGCTCAAACTAGTGCTGTAACACATTAGCAATGCCTTCTCCCTGCTTTTGAGCTACAATATAGAATTCACAAACAACACGGAGCATTACTGATGAGGCGTGGAGGATTAGTGATGTAGTGGGCTGAAAACAGCTGCTGCTTCCTTCTTGGGAACATCAGAAATATCTGCAAGAGTCTGTCTCAGCCTAAATTTAGGATAACTGAAGTTACAAACTGACAAGGGAGTAAAATGGAAAGCAAGACAATACACCATATTTATCAGAGAGAAAAAATGTTTCATATATTTCAATCATCCATTTGGAAATTATCACATGGAACAGAAGTGCAGCTACAGTCCCATGACTCACTAAAACTTGCACTAATTTCTTGCACATTCCATATATGGGTTTTTTTCTGTCAGAAAGAATAATAATTCTGGCCAAGTATAAGGCTTAAATTTGCCTATCACTTAGATATGAGTTCAATGCCCAGTAAGCAATGTAAACTTTTTTATGATGCCATTTGCACCAAATATCTTCACAGTGAAATACATCATCATCTTAAACAGCTGGCAATGTGAACAAAAAGGAGGCTGGATGATGACCTTTCAGGCAGAGCCCTGTATCTTGGGGCCTATTTCTGGACGGTCAGTAATGCCAGAGATAAATTATATTATTTGTTTAGTCTAAGTGCTGTGTTTTCTGTCCTCAAAGTATAGCAATTATATTTCTGAAAGTATAAAAGGAGTGTACAAGTAGAGAATGGGATCCAAACTTGCACCATAAAGTATAAAAGCAACATGATGGAAAGAGGAGGTTCTTACTTTCAGTTTTCTGGTAGTAGACACTAAACTGATCCTGAATGTGGAATAACTCCTCATGTTAAAACATCAGTGAAATCAAAGTCAAACAGCTAAAGCAAATCTGACTGACAGTCACCTATACATTTTTCTTTGCTTGCTGCTAGAAACTATGGTTGCAGCTACTCACCGCGTAATATTATTTTATAAGATCTAAAGTTGTCTTACCAATAAAAGAAATTGCCTTTGGATTAATGATGCCGCTAGGAAATAGGTGAAAATCATATTCTTTCCCATCAACAACCACAGTATGGCCTGCGTTATTCCCACCCTGCAACAGAAAGAAACACCAGAAGATTAATAGTTTTACACTACTGCTCTTAACTCTCAGCAGATGATTTGACAAAATCACCTGGTTTTATTTATACAGTCATGTCTTAGGTCACTGCTTTCTCCACCTTATAGTTTCTTGAGAAACTTGTAAAAAGGGCTCAGACAGGACAATCAGGGGGCCAAAGGATTTCAGCAGAGAATTAGGAAGCAAAATGACACCAGGGAGTCAAGGCAGGACTGGGGCAGAGCTAGAGTAAATACAGGAGCGGTGGCAGAAGCTAGAAGAGAACTGAAGAATTCTAGGGACAAAACTGAATTACCACCCATGGAGTCCTGTCTCTGATGTGACACAAGCCCATCATTTTTGGGTATATCCTGTTCATGTCAATTTCTTTGGGTTTAAGCCTACAATGCCCCATATTTCCTTTTGAATGGAAGCTCTTCCTGCCTGCCCACCCACCAACAGCTACTGCTTCTCAATGTGTTCAAGGTGGAAGGTCTGTATAAAGTTGGGAGCACATGGAGACTTTGCAGATTCACAGAATCTCCCTGTCCAGGGATGATCTTCCCAGTTAACACCACCACCACACCATTATGGAGTCTGCTGCAATTCAGATCACATATTCTCATCTCCCAAGTCATGCACTAGACCTGAGAATGGGAGCTCGTATTTTCTCAATAAACTGATTTTTCCCAAAAGGCTTTAAAAGAGGACGATGAGACACTGCACAAACTTGGGAAGAGGTGAGTAAATCAAGGTCACGAGTTGATTTGATCTGAAAGAGGGAAGAGTTCTGAAAACTTAAGTGTCCCATTTTCTTGACAGGCTTAACGTTCCTTGCTGTTCTGTCATGATGTAACTTTTTCTCCTACTGATAAGATTGGGAAATATGACTACTTGTCTGCCCTGGTGGTACAGGCATTTTCCAAAATGATTACAAGTCTTTGTGGATTTGATATGAGGTGTGAATGATGTAGAAGTGTCTGGAATGAGGGCATCTACTGGAAAGAGAACTGAGACTGTCATTGGCAATTTGCAAATAATTAAGAGTGTTGGCTGAATGAGTGGAGTTGTTATATGAAAACTCTGTGAGAGGACAATAATTTATAAAAACACATGTTCTTGCAGAGTTTAATTTTCTCTTCATTTACTCATTTCCCCATTTGTTTGCATGTAAAACACAGGAAAACAGCAATGTGGATATACTCTGAAACATAATATTAAGAAAATAAAAGCTATGGCTTATAAAAAAAAAAGGTTTTTTTAAGCAGTGGGATGGAGGAAAACATTAAGAAATATGCCTTTAACAGGACAAAAGTAATTTTAATGTTTTGGAAGATGCGAGCTCAACAGTGAAGTTTAAACAGATAGCCTGCTAAGGGACAGCTGAGTAGGAGTTGTAATAAAAAAACTGTCAAATCAAATTAAACCTGTGTGTGCACCAAACTGCTGGTTAGCTCATCCTTGGGCTGGGAAGGACTCCCAAGTGTCTTGCTAATCCAGAGTTATAACTTGTCCAGAGAATCCTGAAGAAAGTTCAACCATCCTAGGCATTTAACTTGCCTCCCAGATATAAGCTGGTTGCAGGAACCTGGATCTAGTTGAAGGTACTAAACTATCTAGCAGGCTAATAAATCATGCAGGAGACTCCTTTGCATGATATTTAAGAGGTCTGAGAGGGGATGAATCGCACTGTTTGAAACACTAACTTATTTTATTACAGCAATATCAGGCTTGAGAACGAGGGTAGTAACTTCTGAGACAATCAGCTTTCCTCTTCTGTTTGCCTACAGATGAAGATGGAAATTTTAAAAGAATGAACCCCATCTGGTTTAACAGTGATTTAATCTCTACTACAAGAATTTTCACATTTCCTGAGAAAATGGGGAACCAGGATCCTTCAAAAGTATTTGTTGTCACTAATATTATAGTTATATTCTACTTTTGTTAATCCACATGAACAAATGAAATCAGGCTTGAGGACTCACAATCTGAGACAAGAGTACTCCTAAATTATAGTCTGAAGTTTTCTTGTATCCCAAAATTTAAGAAGGTGGGACACACCACTATGAGAATGTTTATGGAAGATAATTCATGCTTCTGGAAATTTTCCTGAAGAACTCGTAGCCAAATACTGTCTCTTTCTTTAGCAAATGCTAAAGAAACAAAAGAGACATTAATTTTAACTCCTCAGTCAACCATCTGTGAAAGCTGGCATACATGAAAAATGCTGAAGCACAGAAACATCAGCAGAGATGTTACATTGTCTAATTGCCAAAATCTCTGAATCCACTTTCAGTCCCTCTGGACAGATAATATAAACCAAGAATTCAGGGACAGACCTTATAAAAGTGCACTTCTCCAATCTAAAGCTAGCATTGACAGCTCTGCAGCTGTTTTTGAGCACTGCTCATGTTGGTCTGCATTTCCTAAACAAGTGTCTTCTATTTTTACAGCTCAATTAATTACATTTTTACAAATATAATTAAAGTGGTAGCAGAGCGCTTATGATCAACAGCCACAATCAAACTTGCAAAACATGCTGCTGGCCTGATGAGATACTTTCTGTTATCTGGTCATTGCAGTAATTCTCATGTTCAGTTTCATAGACATTCCAACAGCATATTGACAGTCTAATAGCTCAGATATTAAAGATATCTACTAATATTCTAATTTTACTTGAGTTCTAAGAGTCAATATAGAGGCTGTACGAGCCATTGCTTTTGCTACTGAAGTATAAGGGGAACCTAAAAGCTTGTATGGGATTAATCTGAAGACGACATGATTGAAGGTGCAGAATACTACCTGGTACACTGCAACCATGAGAACTCTCTTTTTTTCCTCAAATGGTACTTCACTGAAGTGGTGTCAACACTAATACACCTAGTGACAGTATTCTCCAAACCCTCAGGAAGCTTCCACTTGGACCAAGAAATGTTTGGTTTCTCTGGCTGGCTTTTGCTTCAAATGCAGCTCTGCATAATGAGCTTCCATTTAATATCCAAACCCAGCTCCCAGAATCTCTGCTGTGCACCACTGATCTCACTTGAAATTTATCTCTCCTCATTTGCACTTCTTAGGCCTCCAGAGATGGTATCTGCCTTCTTTTGTGGTTCTTCAATAACTTCTCTAACAAAGGGCTTGTTAAGGCAACTTCTGACAGATTAATCACCAGTGTCACTTTGGCATCATCTGTACTGCAAAATTATGGTATGACCAGAAATAATAATTAACATTAACTTACAAAAATCTGGGAAGCCTGGGCATTCCCATTAAACTGCTTTGCTGTATTCCCAAGAAGGAACCATTAGGGGAGCTGCTGAAGCTCCAAAAGGCTAAAAGTGCAACTGGGATGCCAGCAGTCTGGAACAATAGCATCCACTTCAACCTGAAGCCTTCCTCGCTGCTCTGGCAGTGATTCCAACATGTTCAGCAGCGCTTGTGCCCCTTCTGTTAAGCCACTTTAATCTCTAGTGACTCTACTATACCTGCACCAAATGCAGGAACCTAGCAGGTGCAGGTGATTGGGGCTATGAATTACAGAAAACTGCAGCAATGAAGTGGGACTTGAGAACTAGAAAGAATTAAGCATGCCAAAGACAACATGGTAGGTATCTTACTATAGTAATAAGAATACCTAAATATCAATCAGGAAGCTCATTGCCAAAGCACACACACAAGTCCTTCCTTTGAGGCACTGCCTAGATACAGTGATACATTTTGACTGTGCAGCCACAGCTGTTACTCTTTGTATTAGATATATTAAAATTTCAGAGTGGATCAATGCTGTTTCTAACAGTATTTGGTAGGTGTTAAAACTCTTCACATTTAAATCAGGCACCTAAGAAAAAACAACTTTCACTGAAGTCATACATAGCCTGCAGTCAAAAATTAGTATTTAGTCTTTTCAAAGTACCTACATTGCTTAAGAAATCCATTTTTATTAACTTTTAAACTACTAGAAGTTAAGGCTCTATTAACAGCATTAAATGTGTATAATTTCAATATATTTTGCCTAAGGAATGCTCTATCACCTTGTGGAGCTGCAAGCTATATGTCCTTTCTTCTAAAATCCAGCAGCCCACCAGCAATGTGGTTTAAATTCAACAAACTAAAATGCCTGTCAATCCAGGTTGGAAAACAGGCCTTCAAGACAATGGAAAGAGTTGCAACATGTTGTTTTGAAGAGTTAAACAACAGGAAACATACTAGGCATTCTTTTCAGATTGGAATAATACTACATGGTGAAGTTTGGTGGGGTTTTTGAAAATTATTTTTAAGCAATGTTTAAGTTGGACTGAAATGAAAATGGGATTTTTTTTTTCCTGGAAGATTTTAATCTATATTTTCAGACTTCTAATAATCAAAGTGTAAAGTTACATGTTGTCCCAGTACCAGAAGGAGCGAAAGGAACTTAAGCTGCCTCATAAAACAGTTGAATGTTTTTTTCAAGTACATTATTTAAAAAGAAAATACTTTTCCAAAAATAACTGTCTTTCACGGAATTAATAATTATTATGAACAGGTTGTCAGAGGAGAACACCTAGTCTTTATCTTGTTAGTAGAACTTACAAAAAAGACAAAGAAACAAATCCACTTTCCAAAGTGCTCAGTCATTTCAAGGATGATGCTTTGTTCTGTATTTTTTTTAATCATCTCTTCTATTCTCTGCAGTTGAAACATCCCAAGGTAGAAAGAGAATTTCTATTCAGAGTAGCAGTGAGGCTGTTCAGTACCTGCAGCAGGAACTCCTTCCTCCCAGCTAGACTTATGTTTGAATAAGAATGAAATGTCTCCCGATGCTTTCTTGCCAGTCAGGCAGCATGCAAGAGACTGCATTCTGTGTTAGGTGGAAGGAGCGTTTCCAGATGCTCTGCTGGTTTCCACTGGTTAGAGCATCTTTCATTTGCTCAGTTCTCCCCACAATGTGGAAGGTACCCTGATTAACAAACTAGATTGATACGAAAAATCACCAGAGCACACATAAAATGCCTTAAAACCTCATATTTTTAAACTATAACTGGAGGATGAACACGGAACAGGTATGTTTCTGATGGGTCCCACAGTGATCCGTTCTCGCACTCTTCCAGTTAGCAATGTTAATCAATGCAATGGGGAGAAAACAGGAGCTCGTTACTGAAGATCTGCAGCCGACACAAGTGTCATTTCAGCAGTACGCAGCAGCCTGAGCTCCTTAGCCAAGTGGTATATGCAGTAAATGTATAAAACGTCATCACCAGGTTTAGAATAAATGAATTAGAAACAAAGAGGTAGGCCAAATTCTGGATGGGAGATATCTATGCTAGAAAGCATGTGGAGATGTCTGAACATACTTTCAGAACTAGCTGACATGCCCAAGGCAAACCTCAATGTATAAATGGGAATATCAAGTAGGAGTAGAGAGATTGTATTACCTCTCCGTTTGGCAGTGGTGCAACTGCTACTAGAATACTGTGTCCTTGGTACTTGGACAAGATTACAAGATGATCCCCTCTGGCATTATAATCTATGAATTTATTAATTGGAATACCAGCTACAAACCAGCAGTTTGGGTAGTCTGCATCTGAAAACAAATTCTATGATTCCTGTCTATCTCTTAATTGCAAGAGTCCCAGCTCTAATTCCATCCATCAATAAAACAAAACATTTTCTGAAATTCAACTGCCTCTACAGGCCAAATACCTCTCATCATACTATGAAACAGACTATAAAATACTTCAGTTTTCTGATCTAGATCGAATAATTTTCTTCCATTCACAGCATTTCATATGTGATTCTGAATAAACAAGAAGGAGAACTGTTCATTAAGTTGTAAAGAGAAAGAAGAAACAATTCATGTAACGATGGCTCTTCCTAACTTACATCAGGAACTGCCTGGAACTAACCTGAATAACCATAGCTAATAAGCATTACTAGCACAACTGGCTTTGACATGAACTTTTAAATAATATAAATCCATTGCCTTTCATGCTATTGTTCTTCATTTATACCATTGCAAATGAGTTTAGAACATCATCAGTTAAAAAAAAAATCCAACACACAGACAAATGCAATGCATTAAGTGCTTTGAACACTCAGACCCTTAGACACAATGTCACAAAATTGCCTGTGCATGATTGCCTGTGCATGAAAGCTTTTTCCAGATGACTGAAAGTGCTGTCCATTACAGTTGGGAGGTTGCTGCCATAGGTGCTTGCTGTAGTCTCCTTTACTAGGAATTTTTTCTTGCTAATTTTTTCAGCCTAACTATCACCTGAGAGCATTCAACTCAGTTCCAAGAAGTGGGTCATAATTTTTTTTTTAAACCTAAGACATTGGAAGGAGCTGGGTTAGGCAATTATCAGTATAGCTACACCAGGAGAACAGCAGGAGCAGTGATTTTTAAAGCTAGGGTGGTCACAAAGAGCCAGAGTGAGTTACAGGTATTTATCTCCTGACACCAATCATCATCAGCCCAATTTAGTTTGCCTTGCTCTTTTTCCCAAAGAATAAACAAGAACAACTCTGCACAGAACTGCTATGTCCGATTCCTGTATCTGTTCAAGTGTGCTCCTGCTGTGTCCCTTCTCACTCTCTCACAGAATTAACAAAATCCACAGGATCCCACCTTCCCAATTAAAATAGTGATCTCTTCAAAAACTTCTGAATTCCCCTGGACAGAGACCTTCTGAAGCCTAATGAGATAATTAATAAGATTATAAGCACACTCTTGTGAAGAACTGAGAAAAACTTTTGCCCTTTTAAAGAAATATATAAAATTATTTCTAGCACAAATATAAAAACCTGAAGCTTATATCATATTTTGCACTAATAAAGTAGTATTTTTCTTTTACTGCAAATTAAAAGTGACCCTAACTTATACAGATACCTTGATCTTCCTAACAATCTGAAAAATGCAACTGGAAAAGCCAGGTCTAACTCAGCTCAGGTTTTAAACAGCAGTCAGTGTAGGCACACGAGACACTCTTAAATTCTAGTTATTTTCTCTCAAAATGAACTTAAAGTTTTGTCAAACCATGTAAAAACAATCTGCTATGAGAGACCACTACAACAAAACACACACTTAACTCCAGCAGAAGATGTAAAGAAAACAAATTCAAGTTATCTGGATAGAAAATGCTATAGTGGAAAAGGCATTCTGACTAACGCTAGCAGAACCCTAAAATAAAGGAAATCAAACATGAAAAACCTAGATGTGTCTGCTCATCTTTAGTCCTCTCTTCTGAAGAAGTGCAGCCATGTCCCTGTGGAAGTAACATGATCCAAAGATACAAACAACTTTTCTTGTATCTGTAAACAAGTTAACAACAGCTAGTGAGTTACAACAGGAAAGAAAGAGAATAGATGTCACTTCAGCTTAATTTTCAGCTGCTTTCTTTTGATGCTTGTAGAGGATAATACATTTATCAGGCTTTAGAAAGGGGATTGAAAATTAAGCTTGCTTTCTTATGGAGATTTGGAAACTTTAAACCTGACCTTCTCATACAGTATTTATAATCCTGGTGGTCCTGAGATGATCTCCCTGATGCCCAAAGGAGAGGCTAGTTTAAAATAGCAATGTTACCATGTCGTTCTAAGGCCTAAAATGATATAGTGTAGCATGTAAGTAGGTATAAGCAAAACAAAAAATAAAATTTGGGTAAAATACCTTATAAGTGACAGATTCCCACAAAAAGTTTCAATTTTGAAAGGGTGAACTTTATTGTAGCTAAGGAAACAACTTGCACTTAATGAACCCTTTCCTGTGTTGAATAGCAAAATAAAACCTACTCACTTTTTTGCAGAGATCCTTGCAAAAAAACTACTTGGAGAGAAACATGCCTGTATGGTTGTACATGTACATGGAAATGGGATTATCAGCCTTCCCAAACATTAATCAAACCGACAGTCCCACAGCCACTGCACACTCATGACTCCCAAGGTCATCAATCTCGTCACTGAAGATCATCACGCACTAAATCATTAGGAGATTAAAGTCTTTACATGCTACTACATCCTGTAGGGAGAAATTACACTAAATATCAGGGTTAAATTTCACTGAAAGGAGAGCAACACGTGATACATACAGAGAAAAGCAGTGGCCAACAAGCCCCTGTAACTCCATGTAATCATCACATGAAACTGCCCTAATTTAATCCCTGCTGCAAACAGCTCCAGCAGCCCATGATCAATAGGGACAGTCCCAACAACGTGTGGCTGCTTTGCCCTGCCATGTCGGCAGCACAACAGAGCAACAAAGGCAACTGCCCTGTCTTGTACCTAAACCATGGAGAAAAACTTCTCGTCTGGCATTTCTGCCACGTTTGGTTTTTATTACGTGAGCACTTGCCCACAGTACATTCCTTTGCATTCCTCAAAGTATCACTTCTAATATATGTGGTATGTACTTCACATTCATTAAAACACTAGAAAAAGTAAATAAGGAAACCAACAATAATACCCAACGGCTATTTGTATTGGTAGTGTTGGCCACTTCCTTTCAGCCTTTCCTAGATCATTCTTTAATTTTGCAAGGAAATCTCACAGCCAGAACTTTCTTAGGCTTTTCTTACCAGTTAGCCTCTCTCAGTCTTATCTGTTAACAGCCACTACACTGAGAAAACCAGCCACTCAAGGTCCTTGGTGTTATGACTTGGTTAAAACTTTTTGTTCCAAATGACTGCGAACTACTCAAGCACAAAAGACCTTAACACCAAGTTTTTCTGGTACCTTTTCCAACCTCCTGAGCTTTTCTTCAGTATCAACAACTACAATTTTTGTCCATCTGTCTCAAAAGATTTTTAAAATCAAAGCAATTCTTAACTTGAAAGCACACTGACTTGGATAGAGGAAATGTTTTAAAAGTGACTGCATATTTAGTGAATAAATAAAAGCACAATAATATGAGAAGCCTAACAAATCTAGGAAGTTCTTCTTATTGCAATCACATTCTTACAATTGGGTGTTGTTTCTTCAATGTGAGATCTTAACAGGAGTGCCGATAACATCAGGCACATTGCTTCCAGACACCAGAAGAGTCCCAGGTCTGACACACTCACCATTGCCACGGGCAGCACTGGAACTGCAGTGCCAAATGAAAGCTTGAAAACTCCTAAAAGCTGTCTTGGGCTAGTCACTGCTGCT